AATAGAAGTCGAAAAGTTAGGAGTCAACCCCCCGTACCTGACTTGTTGCATTCCTCTAGGGTCATACTTTCATTTTTATCATCTACATACTCTTTTAACCACATTTTTTCACATTTCTCAAAACCATACTTTCTCACTACATTTTTCCTATCACGCGCTCATTTTCACCTCACAAATGGAATTCCACTTTACCTTATATATCCATTATTCTATTTTCACACACTTGCACACAAACACTTGGATTTTTCATACAATTTCACACATGCACCTTTTCATACACTTGCACACAAACACTTGGATTTTTTATACAATTTCACACGTTCACCTTTTTATACACTTGCACACTTGCACTTTAGCCATCATTTGCATTAATCGACCTCTATAAGGTTTTCCTTTATTGGCCGCCACAATTCATGTGGTTGGGACCAAAAACCTTACAAGAGACATTTTAGAATTTAGGTTTGCATTTTTTCCTTCTTTTTGCATTCATGTAGTGCATCCAAATGTAATAAATTCTTTGGTTAAAACAAGAAAATCTTTGATTAAATCATGCAACTAGCCTTGGCTAGGTCAAAGGGGTGCCTTGGATTTTATCCTTGCCTTCCCCTTTGTCAAATGTGACTCCCGAACCTTTTTCATTGGTTTACGTAGATTAGGAGTCGTTTAAAAAAGGGTTTCTCACTACTTTTCCCTATTTTTCTTTAAAAATACATTTTTTAGGTGACTTGGTACACCTTAACTCATTACCAAGTGGCGACTCCGTATTTAGTTTTAAAAACCCTTTTTAAACTATAATTTTGGGTCAAATCGTCGCATTCTCAAAACCCCATTTAGACCCATTTTTCTTTTAAATCACGATTCATTTTCCAATCACAAAAATACATTTTTAAACCATTCATTTATTTTATCAAAAAATGGGGCGCGACACATCAGACACTCAAAGAATGGATCATTCGGGATTCAAAAATCTTGTCATATCATTACAGTTTACTAGATTTGGCAAAGAAATTCAGAAGTGTGGAGTTCAGGCACATTCCATGTGCCAGAAATATTTTCACTGATGCTCTGGCCACTTTATCTTCAATGATTCAACATCCAGATGAGTTGGTAATCGAACCTATCCAGATTCATCTACAAGAAAAACCTACTCATTGCCTAGTTGTGGAAAAATCTCTCGATGGCCGTCCTTGGTACAGTGATATTAAGGAATTTCTCAAAATAGGGTCCTATCCTCCTGGGGCCAATACAACTGCTAAAAACTTCTTGCGCAGATTATCTTCCACATTTTTCTTAAATAGGGAGGTGGTATACAAAAGGACGTCAGACTTGGGCCTTCTAAGGTGTGTTGATGAAGATGAAGCAGAATACCTGATGAAAGAAGTACATAGTAGTGTGTGTGGATCACTTATGAATGGCCATTTATTAGCAAACAAGATCATGAGGACAGGCTATTTTTGGCTTACTATGAAGCATGATTGTATAGTTTTTGTTAGGAAATGCATCAAATGTCAATTGCATGGAGATGTTATGCGTACTCCCCCTACAGAATTACACAGTATGACTGCTCCCTGGCCATGTTCAATGTAGGGTGTGGATGTAATTGGAGCCATTGACCCTCCCACTTCAAATGGGCATCGGTTAAATCTGGTGGCAATTGAATACTTTACCAAGTGGGTCGAAGCTGAATCTTACAAGCACATGACTAAGAAGGTGGTGACAGACTTTCTAAGGAAGCATATCATTTGTCGTTTTGGAGTGCTAGAGACGTTAATCACCGACAATGCCAAGAATCTCGACAATGATATGGTGGACGGATTGTGTGAATAGTTCAAAATCAAGCATAAGAACTCCTCTATTTATAGACCACAGATGAATGGAGCTGTGGAGGCCACGAATAAGAACTTGAAGAAGATAATTCGAAAAATAATTGAAAGACACTGTGATTGGCACGAGAAGCTCCCTTATGCATTAATAGCATATAGAACTGCTATTCGGACCTCTACCGGGGCAACTCCTTACAATCTCATGTATGGAATGGAAGCAGTGTTGCCAGCTGAGGTTGAAATCCCTTCATTGCACATTTTAATGGAGGCTAAACTGGATGAGGCTGATTGGATTAAACAACGTCATGAGCAGTTGTCTTTAATCGATGAGAAGAGGTTAAATGCCATTTGTCATGGTCAATGTTATCAAAAGCAGGTAGCCCGTGCTTACAATAAAAAGGTCAGACCACGAATATTCACAAAAGGAGATAAAGTGTTGAAACACATTTTACCAGTGCAAGAGGAGGCTAAGGGTAAGTTTGCACCAAATTGGCAAGGCCCTTTTATTGTCCAGAAAGTTTTGCCCGATGGAACACTTGTTCTCACAGAAATGGATGGGCAAGTGTTCCCTCAACCGATCAATTCAGATATGTGTAAGAAATTTTTCATATGATAAATGGAATTTTCCTTTTAGGGTTAATGTAAAGAATGGAATGAAAAGTCAGACTTTCTTCCTTTTCAATCAGACATTCTATCCCTAATTATCCCTTTTTGAGCATTCAGAATAAATCACTTCGTTTGGCAGCCCCTGAGGATCGCAAATCCTACACTAGGGCAAGTTTTGAGTTGAAAAAAAAAAGAAAAAAAGAGCGTTTCAAAAGGTAAAAGTGATAGAGGAACAAAATGAAGAAAAAATTTAAGAAAAAACCTTGATTGAAAATAAACTGGGGCAATTATTAGTAGGGTTAATTTGAAGATGCGATATCAGGAAATCTAAACATTTATAAGATCCGCCTTCAAGCCTTAACCTATTCCTAACATCTCACCAAACTCCATTACAAAAACCAAAAGTCCTGACTTCTGTTCTTTATATTGGCTTTTTAGGAAAATTGCTAATCAAATGGCACATGATATCAAAAACACATTCACCTATTTTGCAAGGGAAGGATTGTTATGCTGATGCTATTATTTCTTAAAATGCATTTTTGAATTGATAAGGGTTGTCGGCAAGATTTGTTTATCAGGTGAAAAATCGAAAGGGCACCTTTTAAAAAAAAGAGAAAAAGAGAAAAGAAGAAAGAGAAAAAAAAGAGAGAGAAGAAAAAAAAGAGAGAAGACAAAAGAAAGAAGAAAAATGAAGAAATAAAATAAAAAGGGCGAGGGCAACCTTAGTGAAAACCCGAAAGGGCGCTGAGGTAGGGTTTATAAGGAGGAGTGAGTTTTGGAATTTGAGAAACTGGTAACTCAGTTCATTGGAATTTCTCTTTACATTGTGGTTCTGTTGTCAAGCTTTGAACTCCGGAGGAATGATATTCAAAGGGTCAAACGTAGCATTTTGTTCGAGAACCAAAGTGCTCGATTTGTCAAACACAAACTTTTGAATTTGAGTATATAAGTTTATTTATTTGAAATGATTTTTCATTCAATAAAAGTAGATGGTTGTGTTTATATTATTAGAATTTTCATCATTATGTGCAATTAGAATATTTTTTCATATGTTTCACGGTGACATTTGTCTTTTTCGTTTTATCAAATGGCAATCCCTATGATTTATCGAAAATAAATGGATACTAAATGACATGTTGGTTTAAGTATGAGAAATTATGAAAACTTGATATTTTTCCGCAGGGTAAGGTTGAAGTACTCGCTGCGTCAAATAAGAAGTCCAAATATTCATATTTACACATTTCTTGAAGAAGGGGTTGATCGGATGGTGGCGGCATTATCTATTATTAATTCTTTTATTGCAGGTCCAACAGTCCAATAGTATTATACTGGGGCAATTTTTAAAGAAATCGTTTGTCTCTTTTTGAAATTCTACGAAAAGTATTTTGCACAAATCTGACCAAATGAAGGCAGGCTCGGGTTTTCATCCCACTGACCAAGTGAAGGCAGGTTCGGGTATTCATCTCGTTGACCAAGTGAAAGTAGGCTCGGGTTTTCATCCCACTGATTTTCTTATATTTACATGCTCCAGATCGCGACAGAATAACTGTAGGTAAGTATTTGGTATCTATGTTTTTGTCTCGAGTTTCTTCGAAATTCAGACAAAGAGGGGCAAGCAGTAAACACCAAATTTTTAATTCAACTTTATTTATTATTATTATTATTTATTGATTAAATGATAATTATTATCTATTTTTAGTTATTAATCCCATAATTTTTATTTTAAGACATTTTACCATTAAAATTTTGTCAGAAAAGAAAATTGTTCACAAAAATATGCTTTAATTCTTTTAGATTCAATTTATGAAAATTTGTTGCAAATTAACTTCAATTAGGAATTAACGTTGTTTGTTTACCAAAATAATTGAAAATTAGTAAAAATAATAATAAAATAAAATAAAATTTTAGCATTTTATTTAATTTTTATTGATCTTGTTTCATTTCCCTTTTTTTTATTATTAAGAAAATCATTTCCTTATTTGTTGTTACTTAAGTTAAAAAAAAAAAAAGAGGAGGAAGCGCGTGAGCTGCAAACGAACCAAACATTTCTTTAGTATCGTATCAGAAACCATACGCGAAGTACAGAAGCAAATGCAGCTCGGTTCCATTTCCTTTTTCCACCATTTGTTTTCCATTGTTTTTCCTTCACAATTGGCACTTGGGATCCTCAGTGACATATTTTGAGTGCCAATCCAATGCCACCTCTAATATTGCGCCAAGTGTCCTGTTATTATTTGCATTTTAATTTTTTAATAATTCAAATTGATTTAATTTAATACAAGTTTTCTCTACCCTCTAAACCTTTGAACCAAAATTAACAAGCTTCAGGGACTTCGTCTCTTTTTGGCTTTGTTCAAAGCAATCACCGATGAAAGACTTTGGTGGCTCAATCACTTAGGTTTTCTTTTTCTTTTTCCCCACATCGTGAGTAGTTAACTCAAAAGTGATGGTATTTGAATTAGACTGGCCGGTTAATTTTGATTCAAAGTTTTAGAGGGTAGAAAAAATTTGTGTTAAATCAAATCAATTTGAATTATTAAAAAATTAAAATGCAAAAAATAACAGGACACTTGGTGCAATATTAGAGATGACATTGGATTGGCACTCAAAATATGTCATCGAGGATCCTAAGTGCACAATTGGATCATGTTAACCTCATTCCACCTGGCTTTCATCTAAAAACCAAGAATGATCTAGAGAAAAAGCCAATCGGATGGCTAAAGTAGAGTCGGTGAACTGAGGCTTATGAAGAGCCCTTGAGATCAGGGTTTGAGGTTGCCATTTGATATAAAAGGAGCAAAATGGGAAAGCCGAGGGTTGAGAGGTAGAGAGCATAGATAGGTTGGCGGCTGAGTAGAAAGCAAGAAACAAGGAGAAAGAAAGAAAACTAAGGGAAAGCAGGAGAAGAGGTCCTTCAATTGAGGGAGGAATCGAGATAAAAGAGTGGAAGAGAGAGTTACGGGCTGGGCAGGAGAAAACAGTGAAAGAAAAACTGGAGGGCGGCGGGACTTGGAGATAGACCGAGAGCTGGGAGAGGAGTAAGGAGAGAAACGAAAAGGCCAAGCAAGGAGTAAGAGAGAGGAATCTGGTGTTTTTCTTTAAGGATCAAGAAGCTACTGGAACGGCTGACCGAAGCGAGAAGCTGCTACCACTTCATTCTGCCATCATCAGTTGTGAATCTCCAACGAAAGAGAGATCACTGTAAGCTATTCTCTCCTTTAAACCCCAGTTTCTCTTTAGGCGCAAATTCTTTAAGTTTTCAAAGCATGTAGGTGTGTGATTGGGAATTTATGGACCTAAACCTGTTAGTTTTCGTGCTTCCTTTCCTTCATAAAAATGAAACGGGTGTCATCTGTGGTTGATTCCTGATGGCTCCAAAGATTTGATTTTGATGGCTTGGGGGCATTGGTAAAAGAGTTGTAAATATGGTTAGATGTTGAGGGTTGTAATACTGATATTCATGGCAGTCTTTTGTTCCGAGTCTTGCTTTGTTGTTTTTACTCCGTACGGCAGGCAGATAATCTTTTTTTTCATTTCTATGGTGGCTGAAGTTGTGGCTTGTTTGATGTTTTGTTGTGTGTGATGCTTGAATGGGATGTCATGAATATACTTGATATCAAAGTTTAGTAGACACTCAGGTCATTTTGGGTCAAAGTTTAGCATATACTCAGGTTATTTTGTTGCATTGTGTGACCGAAAGCTTGTTGGATTTTACTCTCTCCCTGGTCTCAAGTTCTCGCATGTTGTGTTTGAATGAGTTGGGATTTGTTTGGGTCAGTTTTGGGATAAATATTTTAGAACTGGTATGAGGAATCACAGATTGCTACAACAAGCTCGAAGCTCTCGGTTTGTTGCAGCAATGGCCATCTCATTTGTAGTTGCCGAGGTGTGTGGTTGGTCTGTTGTTCCATCGACACACTATGTGTATGTTTACCGCAGGTTTCTTTCTTGGCATCTTTGCAGCATTTTTCGTAGTTAAGTTACATTGCTGCATTTGATAGAAGTAGGAGGAATGTTTGATGATCCTGTCGCCTGGATTCTGTTTACATTGCGCTTAGATTTGCGCATAAAAATCTGGACAGATGAATCTTTTTCTCTCCTTTGGTTGCTGAAGTTTTGGACTTGTCTGAATTTTCATTTGGGTTGCTTGTTATTTGATGGTGATGACATGTATGTTGTTAGCTGCAATTTAAAGCAGCAAGTTGCGATGTAGCATCAGGCTACAATATGGCAGATCTGTGGCGGCAATAGAGTTTTTGCATCTCAGAAACTTCAATTGCTTTAACTGAAGCTTATGTTCATGTCCATATGTTCAGATGCTCTTTTTTTCTCTCATTCTGGGTTCAATGTTTGATAACGAGTGAGCTTGTAGTGTTGGAGTGATTTCTTTCTTGCAAAAATTTCTCAAAGCTATGTTTAAACTCATCGCAAGCTTCCTGGGTCATTAGTGAATTGCAAAGTTGCAGAGAAAACTCCTGCTGCACTTTTTCCATTCTTTTGCTGATTAGTTCTTTTTATCCCTGACGGTGGTCTGCTTAGATTCTTTGCTTTAATCCTGCAACAAAATCTAGCTTTTGATTTAGTTGATAATTGAGAGTTGAAATCCTGGTATTTGGTGAACTTGTCTGCATGATGAAATATAAAGTAAGTTGCGGCTGGAATGCTGCAGAAGAGAAAGCTTTGCGTAATCTTGCATGCAAAAGTTTCATAATTTGCACTTTAACCCTTTGATTTCTATCTAATGCTACTATGGCCCAAAAAATTGAAAATGCTAATCAATTTTGTCCCTTCAACATGTTTTTTCTTTAATAGGTCTTAACATGATTTTTGGATAGATTTTTATTGAGTTTTAGGATGAATTCGAAGGGTTTAATAATTTTTTCTAGATTTATAGTTTTGATTTGAAATTTTAGTGAAATTTTGGAAAATTTTGTTGCTTAATCGTAGCAAATTGGTTTTCATTTATTTTCGTGAATTTTATCATTTGATTGGTAGGTTTCACCTCAAGCCTTTAAATTTAATTTACTTCCTTTTAGACCCTTAATATTTGTAATAATAATAAATTGATCCCTGAACTTATGTAATTCTTACATTTGGGTATGTAATTCTTACATTTGGGTCCTTGTTTGTTTTAATTTATTGAATAAGGGTTGTTCATTTTTATTTGAATGATTTGATTGATTCAATTTCATATTTATCTTCATTTCTTGTGATTATTTATTAATTAAAGTGATGCCTTGACCTTTTCATTGTTTTTGGAGGGTAAATAAGTAATTTCATTTCATTAGGGCACCAATTCAAGGGACGTATACTCTAACCCTTATTTTGATTTTTACTTGACCCTATGTGACTTTATGTGCTTAATTGTATGCCTTTTGAATGTTTTCATTTCATTTATTTATGTCGGATTTTAACTATTATGTCGGATTTTCATGTTTTCATTTCATTCCCAAGTTAAAAACATGATTTGTCTTAATTGTATGACTTTATGTGCTTGATTTTTACTTGACCCTATGTGACCTTCAATGTCGGATTTTAACTTGGGAATGAATGGCCTATTGAGTTTTCGGAATCGGATAATAGTACCAAAGGATAAAGAGTTTAAGAGAAATTTTGGATGAGCCACACCGATTGAAGTTTACGATACACCTTGGAGAGAATAAAATGTACCAAGATTTGAAGAGTTTGTATTGGTGGGAGAGCATGAAGAAAGAGATTGCTCAATTTGTCCAGACCTGTTTGGTTTGTCAACAGGTTAAAGCTGAACATCAGAAACCATCAGGACTTTTGCAACCTTTGGAGATACCTGAGTGGAAATGGGAAAACATCACTATGGATTTTGTATCAGGGTTGCCTAGGACACAAAGAGGTCATGATGCCATTTGTGTAAAGACTCACAAAAAATTTATCTATTTTAATCTCCTAATTCTAACTCATTTACTTATTTATTTGGCCAATTGTCTCGAATATTATTTTCTAACCTTTTTAGACCTAATTATATGGATCTATAGTTTAGTTATATTTTTAAAGTGACTTGTTTCAAAATTTAATTTTGAAAACTCGTTAAGTGAAAATAGTGATACGCAATTGGAGTCAATAATCGATTCGAGAATACAATAAGTTTGGAAAATTGGAGACTCGTACATTAGTCTTAAAATAGGTATTTTTATGTTTAAGTGTTAATTAGTTATACTATCGTTATAAGAATTTCTTGAAAATTCCACTTTATCACGCACAAATCGGAAGTACGCGTTTTCACGCGTGCGATTAATTGAGAGCCTTTAGACCTCTATTTTTAGACTATTATGAGTGAATAATAATAATATGAATGAAAGTGCATTAGAGGTTTAGTGCACAAATGAAACAAACTTGAGAGGAATCGGGCGCGTAACTCACGCGAACACGCACTATTGAAGAATTGACTTTGAGCCATTGTGAGCCACACATTTTAGCTTCTCTTGGAAGCTTTATTTGCATCACACACACTCTCTCTCTTTTGCTCCAAGACAGCCGGCCATCCTAAGCTTGAAGAACAACAAAAGTTCTTCATTTTTCTTCATCAAATCTTACTACAATTCTTCACCAAATCACCTCAAACTTCAACCACACTTTGTTAAGCACTTGGTGATCATCTTAAGCTGCAAAAGAGCTTGCTTTCCACGGCTTTTCTTGGGCTAAGGAGGACCAAAAATTCTGCCTTGAAACATCTAGCAAAGTAAGTGACGATCAAACCTTCAAATCTTGATTTATGGAAGTAATATAGCACTTATAAGTTTATATCTTCTTGTGGGTAGCTTTATTGATGTAGGAAAGTTGTTGTGTGGGCTCTATGAACTCCCACTATGACTTGATGGACTGATTTGTGGTGTTTTGATGTTATTAATATTGGTTTAGTGCTTAAATTAGTAGAAATGAGTGATATTATGGATGAAAGCTCAAAGGGAGTGACGATGGAAAACTTTCCATTTCTGCCCCTGTGAATGTCCGTGACCCTTAGAGCAAAATTTTGTGGTTCACTTGACTTGTTTATGATGTATACATGTTGTGTGGGTGGTGTAGAAAGTTTCATCAAAAAAAATTTCATGATTTGGTTGGCCAAATGATGTGTTTTCGGAAATCAGCAAAAACTGGAAATTTTCCCTTAACTGCTCTGGCAGTGTTTTTGTTTTGGTTATAACATTTTGTTCCGATGTCGAAATCGAGTACCGTTTATGGCAGTGGAAACTAGACATTCCCAACTTTCCAACGGTTTAAAATTCACATCCTGGTTCCACCTGAGTAGTCCATAGCAATCGTTTGAACATGACTGTCTTGTTTCGTGTCTATACTAAGAGCTCTGTTTTGAGCAGCGAATTGGTGCCCAAATATGAGCTTGCCGTGGACAGATTTTGGAAACGATTTCTTCTAAGAAATTGTTTCTTTATGAATCTAGTTTTCAACGCCATAGACTACGCTTAATTCCAAGTTGAATTGAGTGAGTTGTGTCAGAAATCCGAAACTGACTCAATGATTTCGAACCCTCTTTTGGCTAGTAAATGTCTAAATCTTGATTGGGACTTGTTGTTTCAAAATTCTTGCTGTTAATCACCCACCAAATGCATCTTGGATGTTTCTTAGACATTACCTACACAAAAAGGGACTGTGTTTGAGACATTTTTGTTGGCCAAACGTTTTGAAAACGGAAAACTCATGTACAAGGCAGATTTGTCTTGGAAATTTGGAAACTTTGGTGATCTGGTTAACCAACTTTCCGTGCGTATTTTTCCATGAAAATTGATACAAAAATAGCCCTCATATGGTAGCATAATACTGCCAAATTTGGTGCCTCCAAGTTCATTTCGATGCTCAAACAAAGTTCCAAAATTTGTAAATTGAACCTGGAAATTTGCCTAATCGTCTCAATTTTTCAACAACTTTGAGTCACTATATCTTGGTGCTCAAAATTTTGATTCTTGTTCCGATTATTTTGTTGATTTCAACTCTAATTGAGTTTCAAATCTGAGAGGCTAGTTCAAATTCTGTGAATTTTGCCGAATTTCCAAAGTTGGCGAAAAACCAACCTCAAAACTGTCTCGCAAGCCTAAAACTGTAACTTTGAGCCAATTTTTGAATGCTTTCTGTTGGGAATCATGTGAAAGTGTATTCTAGGAACTTTTAGTACTTTGGAATAAGTTTCCAATGGTACCCAGTTTTCCAATTTTTGACTTGTAATGAGTGAGATACGATTTTTCAAACATCTCATATCAAAGCTGAAATTTTCGAAACTTAAGGAAATGGAGTTTTTCGAATTCTCCTTTTCCCTTCGATATCACTTGAACGTTTTACACTTGATCTCAAAGATGAAAACTCGATTCCTCTTGTGTTTTAAAAATCCCACTTTTGACCCTTGATTCGCGAGTAATTTAGGCTCGCTTTCGTGAAATTTTCTTAGATTGTACAAGTGTACAATCATTCGTGATAATTGGGGTTTATACATGATAGTTCACTATTAATTACTCAGGCTCGCACGAGGACCTTCAAGAGGATCCCACGGTGAACGCTTGAACCTCGAGTGACATTCCTTCTCGTTTACTTAATGAGTGTCAAGTGCATGATTACTTGAACTCCTGTGAACTTGATACATGCTTACTTGTTATCCATGACTTGAGATTTTGAAAATGGAGCCGAGTGTGTATTTTATCGCTCCCGTTCTCATTTGAAATGAATAACTCATGCTTGAAATGCTTGGATATATCAAATGCTTGAATAACATGAAATAGTATGCTATGGCTGCATACGTCGTTGGAGTGAATCTCCTCGACGTTCACATGTTACATGGGGGACCCTCAAACTCATAGGCCGACCTTGGGGCTCGAGTCAGCATATCTTGGTCGGGAACCTCGGTGAGTCATGAGAAATACATGATAAGCTTGACCTATCGAAGAGCTCTCGCTTGGCATACTCGTGGAGTATCGCCTTATAAATATCGTGTGGATCCGGTGTGGGGTATGGTGGACGGACATGAGAAGTAAGTGGAGATTTACGAATTGAAAATATCAACCCGGTTGATGGAGTGTCATCGCGGGAAGATATACGAATGAGACTGGCAAAGCAAGTGGAACTTAGCTTCTGAGAGCTACCATATCTTTGAATTGTTTCTGTTTACATTTAATTAAAATTGTTAATTACTCACACTTTATCAATTGACTTGTTATTTGGGCTTGCTACTTGGACTATGTACTTGCATGTGTGTTCTTGGCCTCACGAGCGTTTAGCTCACCTTGTAGATTTATTTTCCTTAACAAGCTTGGTCTTGGAGTGAATTTGGAGAAACTCCCTTTTTATGTACTTTTGGCTTAGGGTTCCTAATGTATTTTGGGCTAGACCTCTTATTGGTTGTACTTTTGGGAACCTAAGGTATGATTGGGATATTTGATGTATCTGGATGCTGTATATTTTGGGTATTGATGTAACTTTTGGAAATCCGATGTAAGGATTGAATAATTGATATATATATTGTTAAGTTTGAAAGTTTTTCGCATTTTTTTACTTATATCATCATGATAGCTGGTATTTCATTAAGCTTGAACGAAAATTGCCTTGAGTCCTGGCGAGAGTTGGGCAGGCGTCCCGCGGATATCCTCTGGTTCGCCTTAGGGAGAAGTGGGGGCGTTACAGTTGGTATCAGAGCACTAGGTTAGGGATCTATATGGGAGACCTACTAGATACTCTACCCTTAAGACCTGAGACAGAATGACTTAGTCATACTTCAAGTGATACTTGGGCAAATTAGTGACTAAGTTAGGCATGCCATAAGAGACATCCGTGCGAGTTAGCGATTAAATTTCTAACCCGAAAAGTGAAATTGTTTTGCAGAGATGGAAAATGGAGATGGAACCGCCGCGGCGAATGGGAATGGCCATGCTAATGGTCATGTAGAGTCTCCTAGACCTATTTACTATCGAGCTCTAGGTGGGGGAGCTCATGTATGCTACTCGCTTGCTAATAGGTATCCTCGGTGTCCGTGTAGGTTGACCTTTGCCTACCCGAACTACCTAGTACTTGCTTTGGACGACGAGCATCAACAGTTGGTGAACGCCAACCTAGAGCTACAAGTAGAGGTGGATGAGTTTAGGCAGATGGTTAGTGCTCAGGGAGAAAGGATCGTTGAGCTTGAGGAGGTAGTAGAGGGCGAGGTGGCTACAGCTACAGTTGTTCGTGAGGAGCTCCAGAGTACTAGGGCTCGATTTACTATATTAGAAGAGGAGGTCCGTGATCGGGCTTCCGGGATTCTGGCTGATGCTACTAGGCTGGTAGATGAGGTGATGGATGTAGTCCAGAGCCCTGATCAAGAGGAGGATCCTGAGAAAGAGATTTCGCCTGGTAGTCCTACTGTGGACTAGGCCCTAGTGACTGACCCTCTTTTGACTCTTTCGACCCTTTTGACTGGTACTGTTAGGATTAGTTGGGGTGACGCGAGTGCTGAGATCAGTGTATTTTGCATGACTGTGTAGCCTTCTTTTGAGAAACTTGCTTTTACTTTAGTCTTCTGTGGCTAAAAGTACTCTTGCGGCACCTGTGTGCTATATTTTTGTGATTTCCCCCCCATGACTTACTAATTGTATCGATCTTGACATGCTAATGAATGTAAATCATTGTATTTCCAATGTTTTCTTGATTGGTTCTTGTTTTCGACTTTCCTTGCATAATTGATTTATTTCTTGCACTAGGCACGTCTAGAATAATGAAAGGACTAAGAAGTGGTCGAGGCTGTGGGCGAGGGACTAGACAGGCCCAACCACATGGGGATGACCAGGGATCGGCAACCGAGAAGTTATGACCAGAGAGTGTTGAGATTGATGAAACCTTGACCTATGAGGAGAAACTGGTAAAACTTCTGGATCGAAAGGTGAAGGAATTGAGGAACAAGCTGATACCACTAGTAAAAGTTCTTTGGAAGAACCACGGAGTAGAGAAAGCAACCTGGGAAGTAGAAGAGACGATCAGAGAGAAGTATCCAAACTTATTCACCAATCAATGTAAATTTTGAGGATGAAATTTTCTTAAGGGGGAGAGGATGTGAGAATTCACAAAATTCATTTATTTTAAAAACCCTATTTCGAGGTTATTTAATCATGTAATTGTCCATTTATTCCGAATATCATTTTCTAGTCCTATTGAACTTAATTACATGGAAGTATAGCTTCAAAATATTTTTAAAGCGACTCTTTTCAAAAAAATTAATTTCCGAAAGCGCGTTTAGTGAAATTAGTGAAAAAGTATTTGGAAATGTTAACCATTGGAGAGTACAATAAGTTTCGAAGTTTCGAAATTTTAAGTACTCAAGTGATGGTTAGTAGTACTATCGTTATAAGAATTTCTTGGAAGTTTCGCTTTATCGCGCTTAAATTGGAAATTCGCATTTTGCGCGCGCGATTAATTGGGAGACTATAGACCTTCATTTTATATCTTTAAGAATGGATAATAATAGTATGAATATAAGTATATTGGAGGTTTAGTGCACTAGTGAAATGAACACGAGAGGAATCGAGCACAAAACGCGCGCGTACGCGCACTATTGAAGAGTTGACTTTTGCACCTGTCGCGCCCCATTTTTTGATAAATAAATAAAATGGTTTAAAAATGTATGTTGATTTAATTTATGATTGGAAAATGAATTGTGATTTAAAAGAAAAATGGGTCTAAATGGGGGTTTGAAAATGCGACGATTTGACCCAAAATTATAGTTTAAAAAGGGTTTTTGAAAAAATGGGAGTCGCCACTTGGTAATGAGTTAAGATGTACCAAGTCACCTAAAAATGGATTTTTTAGGAAAAAGTTGTAAGAAACCCCTTTTAAACGACTCCTAGTCCACGTAAACCAAAAAAAAGGTTCGGGAGTCCATTTGACGAAGGGGAAGGCAAGGATAAAAATCCAAGGCACCCCTTCGACCTAGCCAAGGCTAGTTGCGTGATTTAATCAAGGATTTTCTTGTTTTAACCAAAGAATTTATTACATTTGGATGCACTACATGAATGCAAAAAGAAAGAAAAAATGCAAACCTAAATTCTAAAATGTCTCTTGTAAGGTTTTTGGTCCCAACCACATGAATTGTGGCGGCCAATAAAGGAAAACCTTATAGAGGTCGATTAATGCAAATGATGGCTAAAGTGCAAGTGTGCAAGTGTATAAAAAGGTGCACGTGTGAAATTGTATGAAAAATCCAAGTGTTTGTGTGCAAGTGTATGAAAAGGTGCATGTGTGAAATTGTATGAAAAATCCAAGTGTTTGTGTGCAAGTGTATGAAATATAGTGATAAGTGCATATAGGTGTAATTAAGTGCAATTTTGTGAAGTAGAAATCAAAATGAACAATAAGGAAAGGAAAAGTGATGAGGAAATGTGAATTGAAAAAAATGAGTAAGTGATAAATGAGAATGAATGAACCTAAAGGAATGCATCAGGTCGGGTATGGGAATGACTCCTAACTTTTTCGACTTCGATTTTCCCTTTGATTAGAAAGCAAAACTAGCATGCTAAGGCTATCGAGTAGCCACACTCGCTCGTTTCCCTTATCAGAAGGGGACTCTTCATGCAAATGTACCCTAACTAGCATGAGATGCAAGACCTAAAGTGAGGGGAAAGGGGATTAGAGGGACATGCCAAATGATAGAAAAACTAAAAGAATGCATGACATGTAATGAACATGCAAAGATGTACTAACGAGGGGAAATCCCTAAGGGTCTAGCGTTGGACTAGCCCATTCTATGAATTCCGACTAGCGTTGGGCGAGTGGAAATGTACATTCATCCATCACATTCATTCAAACTATGGAAAGCGAGTAGACATGCCAAACACTTATAAACACATAGCACATAACATTTAACATGCTTGACTAGATGCAAGGCCCTAACAAAGCAAATTAACACGTAGTAACTAAGCATGCAAGACACATAAGACAATTAAAGCCCTAACTATTACATTTGCTAGCTAGGCACATGACTTCGATAGGTCTTCATTGAATGCTTCTCCAAGCCCTATCTATTACAAGCCAAGAGGTGTACACATACCCCATAAAGAATAACTTAAATAAAAGCAAAAAGTAAATGACATAAATAAAAGGAATTAAGGAAAGGCTAGGAAAGCAAAGTAGGCATGCAATTCTCATTTAGCACATTGGATCACGTAGGAGATGCAAAAAGGGATAAAAGAAATTATACCGCCCCCTTTGAACGATGTCCAAATGAAAGAAAAATGGCTTCAAAACAATAAAAAGGTCACGGTACCTCAAATAGTAAAGTATAACAAAGTCACCAAAACTCTCTTAATTGCAATTTAAATGAAATCAAACTATACATAATTTCCAATAAAGGAATCCACCAAAGACCCAAATGCAAGCATTAATCAACCATTCAAAGCTAAATGAAACATTTTAGAACTCAAAAGGTCCATGAGCATGAAAAGGTCAATTAATCAACTTATTTTAGGGAACTTAAAGAAAATAGGCAACCACAAGCTCATTTAGACACAAGGTTCACAAATCCATGCATTAAGCATCCCCTTAGCAAAACATGGTAACCAATGAAGGCAAACAAGCAATTGAATTGAAACATTAATGCTACCAAAGACTCAATTGTGAACACTAACCAAGCATTCAAGCTCAATCAAACACTTTTAGGAACTTCAAAGGTCCAAAGGCAAAGAGAAGGTGGAGGAATGGTTCAAGTTGCAACTAATTTAGGACCTAATTGCAAGATATTGGAATGTAATTGGGCCTTTGTAGCATAAAGGGAAGCTTGGGGGGGTTGGAATGTAATGCAAATAAGGACCCCATTGAAGGAAATTACAAGTTGTTAGGGCCATAGTGAAACAAAGGAAACTTGGGGCCAAAGGAAAATTTTTAGAAATTATTTCATGCAATCTTCATGCAAGCTACGTAAACAAGAACTTCTGCAATAAAATTTTCGCATCTAATGAAACTTCCCTTTTGTAAACCCCATATCAAACTTCAAACCAAACCCAATTAACACTAACTCTCAGAACCCCTTGACAATTAAGCATTTTGATTAACACAACCCCATTATAAACAACAAACCATTAAAGTGAAATGAATAACCAAGAGAAGCATATGTTGCAGCAAAAGGTAAAGCTTTCTGCAATTTCATTAACGCAGATTCCCATCTAAATGCACAACTTTGATCTAAACTTTATCAAAACTCTAGACTAAGCAACCAAACAAAAACTTCAGCATCTAAACAGGCTAAAACTTAGCAAGATATTATGCAAAATCTAAAAAAACATGCAAACATTTGATGTTCGAAAGTTGCTGCAACTGAAAGAGAGGTTTGCTGCATTTTTTTGTCTACAAATGAATTCAAGACAGCTTTGAGCATAACCATTTCACCTGTCCAACTTTTAACTTAACCAGCCAAGCCAATAAACTCCTCACCAAACATTGAAGGAAATTATGCAAAATGCTGGAGAATTTTATGCGAAATGGTTCGGCAATCCTGCTTGTTCATTTTTCAGCAAAGTATTCTATCGCAGTCCAAGTATTTCAGTCCCCAAAACATGCAAACTCAATGTCACTCATCCAATTTCCTCTCATCAAGTAGATAATGAGACCCACTTTGTGGGCTGTTTTCGGGAAAGGAGGCAGCAAAACAGGAGCATAAGATGCAGCTTTTCCTGATATGAGCATCTACTTCTAACCCAACATTTTCGAGAAAACATTTAAAGATTCAATCAAACAGTAAGCCAAATTCTTTCAACAAGATTTCTACCCATTTTATTATTAGATGTATAGCTCCTAAGAATCATTTTCCAATCAGACAGCCGAAACTGACCATCTACTTCATTTAGCATTGAAACCCATGGACAAACTACAGTAAAAGGAGAAAACAATAACCAAGGAAACGTGAAAACAGGCCTGTCTGCAGTTTAAACTATTTTCTGGGTTTGCCTCTTTCAAACACACAAAGATTGATCGTAGACGTCGAGCAGAACTCATGGATTCATTGGGTAAGATCCTATAGAAAACCTAAGCTTCTACCACAACCCAGTTCGGACCTACAGACTTTCTTCATCACACCAGATACGAAAACAACGAAACATTGCAGCAAATATCTCGGCACCGTTGATCCAAATTGCATGATATTTGACTTGCAAGAGATGAGGCTATTACCTGAATAGCAAAATGAGCCGTGGGATGACACTAAAAAAGGCTTGGCTTGTTCTGCCAGCTCTTCGAAGGACCGCCAGGGGAGGATGGTGATGATGACTCAGTCCCTTTCGTGCCGCCTCCTTTGCGATCTCCTTTCTCCTATTCAGGCCTTGCCCAGATCTTTCACTGCTTCCTTGCTGAAGTTTTTCCTTTTTTCCGTTGTTTTCCTTTTAGATTTACCGGTTCCCTCGGTCTCTCCCTTCTTCTCACCCTCGTTCTCCTTTCCTCTGTCAAAACCCCAGCTGTCTCTCTCTCTCTTTTCCAAAAACTCCAGCCGCCTCTCTCTCGTCAACTTCTGTTTCTTTTTACAGCCGTCCACTAAGACTCTCTCTCAAAAACCCTTCCTTTTTCTCACAGCCCACCTTCCCTCTTTTCCAGCCGTCAAACTTTCTTTGCTTTTTCACAGCTGCCCTCGAGCCCCTAAACCCTCAGCTCTCATTTGGTTTTCTGCCCAAACCCCGTCGTCCAAAGCCTCCTCTCATTTCAGATTTTTTAGCCGTCACCCGTCTTCCTTGTTTTTTCTTTCTACCCCCACAGCCGCCTCACTCTTTCTCTGTATGCCCCCCCTTGCGGCTCTCTTTCTTTTTCTATTTATATGGTCCATTCAACCCTAAAACCCCCAGCCACTTCCTCTGAAATTGCAGCCAAAGGGCTGCCAAGTCCTTCTTTGCAAGCTGCGAAAAAAAAACGCAGCTTGCATGCAGCGGCTTTTTTTTTTTTTAATATTTTCAACTAATTAATTAATTAAACAAAATTGATAATAATAATAATAATAACAAAAACAACTTAATTAACATTGGATAAAAATAAATAAACTAGAAACAACAAAATGCAACTTTCCATTTTTCCATTTTTTCATTTTTCTCATTTTTCACTTTTTCTCTTTTTCTTTTTTCTAAATGATCCAAACAAAAATAAAAGATAAATTAAGTAGAAATG